GTGGGCATTTACGTCTCTGTATCTGACTAGTATACTATTTTTCAAAATATTTTTTCAGTATACTTTTTTATAATTAAGTCTAATTTGGTGTACCATATTTCAAATGACCCAAAAAAAATTGATTCCATAAGAAATATAAAGCCCACAAGAAGCTAAATTTAAATCCAAAAGAAAAATTTATTTGAACTTAATTGAACTAAACTATATTCAAGAAACTTATTTGGCACTAGTGTATTTCTTTGAAAAATGACTAAAAGACCGTTCATTACTCCATTACTCTCTTTCTCTCCCTCTCTCCATTACTCTCCCACTCTTTCTTCCCTATGTTCTCACTCTCATTAATAATTTATTTTCCACTCTTTATTTCATATTCTCTCTCTCTCTCCCTCTGTCATTGATAATTTATTTTCTTTTCAAAAATATAAAGATTTGATTTGATTTTTTTATCTCTCTCCCAATTTTTTCTCTCTTTTACTCTTTCTCCCCCTATTTTCTCTCATCGTTACTATTTCTCTCATTATTCTCTCTCTCTCTCTCTCTCTCTCTCTCTCTTTATATCAATTTTACAACAACAAAATTAGACCAATTAATTATAATTATCCTATAATACATCAAACAATTACTCATATGTTCTAATAAACCAAATTATTGCACCAAACAATTATACAAAATTATAATACCAAACCAATTTGTCATTTAGTTGTTTACATAAACTAAAGAATTATATCATTTAGTATCATGACATGATTATATCAATTACATACATCAAATTGGATTTATCATTAGTGTTTACCAATATACCGTATTCCTGCTGCCATCACTTCAAGTATGGGCAGATAATGGTGGAATAATGGCCTATTATTTGTTCTTAACTGTCCTAGGGTGCATTAGAAATCGTGGATTTTGTTTTCCTCATCATATCTCGAAGATTACCAAGCAAGAAAGATGGAGGAAAAATGCGAATCCCTTACTTTCGAAGCTTTGCACGAACCTTTGCTAGCCTTATCCCAATATCATTGCAAAGGCGTACAAATAAGCTTACAAAGCTAAGCACTGCCATTGTGGATATGATTGTGAGAAGCAGCTGCAATATCTCCATCATTTTCCCCCATATTTGTGTGTATGATTGTGTGTGCGAGTGTGTGTGTATAGATTATAAATTTATTTGGACTTACAACTTTTCCCTTGTCACTTGAGACATATATACATATTTGGAGTCATGCACACAAGGTATCCACGTGTAGATATCAACAAAGTTTGAGAAGGATGAAGGGAGTGAACCTTTGGGAAAGTTAGAGCCTAGAAATAAATAGATTATACGTCATCATATAGAGGTAGAAATAGAGTAATAAAGTTGGGCGGTTTTTTAAGATAGGGATGTGGATTATATAATAGTGGTAATTACATAGACGGGGAAATACAAATTTATAAAGGTGGGAAGTTATTTATAGGCCATTGTTTTGGAATTTGATTTTCATTTGAGGAGGGACACCAAATCTCCATCTTTGTTCATTTAATGTAAAGACTACTATAAATGAAGAGGACACTAAACCGACCATCTCCCTTTATTAATTGTATACATATAGGATTTTTTTTATTTATTTTTTAGATATCAGATTTTGATCGGTTGATCTAGCATCACTTGTGCTACTACCTCCCCCTCCTACCTCCCTCCTCCCCTAAAATGCTATCCACTTCAATACACTTATGTTGAGTTGTAGAGACAATAACACCGCAATCTCTATATTGTTATTGCTAGTATGCTTATGGGTTTAACACAACACGAAATTTTATATAAATAGCTGCCTAGAGCTTGATTCCAAATTGAAATTCATGAACAATCAAGAAGTTGTAGGTTGCCCTTCGTTATCAGTCCCTATCTTATTTGACCTTCATATTTTTGCATTTTTCAACCCCTTGATGTGAAAAAAATTTCTATAAGATAGATGACATTTTCATTTATACGTAGATGATCTCACTGATTGCAAAAGCGTTGGATTACAATGAAAACTGGAAGGATAAAACAAGCAAAATAGAGTATATTAAGTTGTTTAGACTAGTCGTGGCCAAAGTCTGGTAAGTATAGTGGAACAATTGTACTCTCTTGGATAGCTTTTAAAAACCAAAAGCAAGCTAATCCCTAACGTTGTCTTATTTAGAGTTTTGGAAACATGTACGCCACAATTAGGGTTGTCAAATGATGCTCATATGATCTGAACATAAGTAGGGTTCAACTCGATTTTAGCTCATTTAAAATCATACATTTAAGGTCATTTTGTCAACGAATTGAATCCAAACTCATGTGACTAAAATCGAATAGGATTGAATTGACTCAAATAGATTTTGTTTATAAATAATTTTACTTCTTTTGTCAAACAATCTATAATATAAAACATGCAGATTTCAATAAGTCTATCATACGGTCTTAAATAAACTCATCTAATGATCATTAATATTCCTCTCAAAACCATTCACATTATACCATGACTTCAGACATGAATTACTCCTAGTAATGTACATTTCTCCCTTTCTGTATCTTCTCCAATAGATTTTTGAAAATTTTAAATTTCTTGACTAAAAATTTTAATTTTTTTTTGAGAAATTGATTATCAAGTTCTATGGTTTATTTTTAAAAATTTTTATTACGAAATTAAGCTTGATTTCGATTCACGTTGCCACATATAATCAAAGGCAGTAAATCATAAATTTAAAGAACAAGTTCCAAATATCTCATTCTTGCTTAAGCCACGATCGAGTTTTTTTAAAAAAAAGAATATTCAAGGAGGAATCTCGCTTGGTATTACACAATGGTCACAGTTATATTCTAATAAGTTTCAATATGCAATATTAATGCATAAAATGCCTATCATCACGTCATGCATACACATTTTGAGAGTATATGTTCTTGCGTGACAAGGTTCGGAGTCAGTTTCTCAAAATTGGAAAAAAGGGCTCGATCACCTATCTCTCACAAACTCCGTTACAGATATGATTCTCATTTACGGGTTACAACCTTTTTCTATTATGGTGTGACAAGGTCAAGCCTTAAAAATGACTACCTATGTTCAAAAAAATAGGTAGAAGAGAGCATCTTGACCCTATTTCATATCAATAGCCATTTAAACCAAGTGTTTCAGGTGGATTAATTGTGAAGAAAACAAAACTTATGGGACTGCGCAAAGTTTACTGATTGTTGTTTATGTTGTCGATTCTTATTTATCTTGATGAGATGTGATTGTAGCTTCACCGTATATATGTAGGGTGTAACTCATGCATTCTATGTACAAAATATAAATAATAAAGATGTAGCCACTCTTGCTATTTGTTATGTAGAAAGGCTTTATAATCTGAAGTACCACAAATATATCATGGTATCAGAACTATTCAAGCTCTTAATAAACTAATTCCAACTCTTAATATTACAAAGAGCCATTCAAACACAGGACGTCTAGCTCAAATAACATGTTAACACATCATCTACTTTAAAAATTTAAGTTCTTAGAGAGATTTTGACTTATATATTTATATTTCAATACCATTATCAATCGTTGTTTTGTTATCTTGGCATCGTCATCATCACAGTGCATCTCGCCATGGCCAATTCGGGTCAAAGATGACTTGCCGGTCCAAAAAAAAAAAAAATTCAACACAAGCTCAGCATGATCACGTAGACGTAGGTGAGCGGGTCGATGGACAAAAGATCAAAAACCTCAAACACCTTAATCCAAGATGTTATTCTGGATATCATCTGGTACTTAACAAATGGCTTAACACTGTCTTGGAGTATTTGTTTTATTATCCATTTCAAGATCTTCTCTATAATTCAATCTGGATCCAATCCATTGCACTGGTTTGACCCGCTATCCAATTTCTACTCCGGTTCAAATTCAGCTCATATGTGCCAAACCGACCCATTTTTTTTGGCCCAAATTTGCAAGAAATGTCATTCCTTGCATTTGTCTTTTTTTTCATGTGTGCATGATTTTCGTTCCATGCTCACACCTCTAATTCAAATTTGCCCAATGGTCATTTTGTGCCTCTTGTGTTTTAATATGCTCATTCCATGCAAAAATTTCAATCCAAGGGAGCTTTTATCCAGGTAGCCTCACTATCAACAATTTCGACCCCATACATCATTAAATGTCATTTCAATCGCCCCTATTTCAATAAACTTGCATTTTTGGCAACACGTACTTTCTTTAGTTTGAAATTATATGACGTGAAAGATGTATTTTATCAAAATTTTTTAGGTGAATTTATGATTTTTTTAGATTAAGTTACAATCAGATGGAATCAAGTTATAACAAAGAACATCAATATCAATTCTAAAGTATTAACATCGATCCTAAATAACAAGATTTTGTTCTAATATCACTCAATTGAGTTGTAAACTTATCCATATTTTAATAATAACTTCTATAAAATTAAAGTAAACTCCTTTTACATCAAACATATAGACTTTATATTATTATTAGGGTAAATTATACTTTGACCTCCATGAACTCGGTTTCACTTTGTCCTTCAACTATTTGAATTGTTTCACAATATCCCAAAATATAAACGTCCACTATCTTTTTGGACGATAATTGTCAACTTTTAAAGGGTAAACTGAGAAAAATCTCATAATTTGTTGGCAAAATGAAGTAACTATTCGTCAAATTTGTAATTGACGCAAATAATTGGGGCGATGTGAAATAAATCGCATAATTAAAGTTGTACTAAGAAGAATATGATAGCTGAGGGGATAATGTGAAAGAAAATCATAAGTCAGGGTACAAAAGTGTAATTGTTTCTTATTATTAATTACTTCCCCAATGTAACTCCTAGCCTCACACCAAGACACCACTTTCTCCCTAACTCCTAACAACTTTAGATATTAAAATAGCACTCCTCCTTGTTCCAATAGCATACCACTAAAACAAACCACCTAAGTAAAGGCGACACTACATTAAAAGAACTTAACAGTTAAAAACAAGTTTATTTTCCAACTAAGGCATCGCTTATAGTCTCTTAATGAGGAGATTCATTCCTTGTTTAGGCTCTAACACTAGCCTGAACACTGGGGAGTGTTGGTATTTGGGTGAGACAGAGAAGGAGAAGTTGGATATCAGAAGAGTTAGTAGAATTTTGAGTTCAGCTAATGCAAACGGCATCCCCAAACACACACGAGGGCCAGCACCAAATGGCATGTACACATGTGTAAGCTTGCATGCACCAGTGACTCCATTGGCAAACCTCCCAGGGTTGAACTTGTCAGCATCAGGTCCCCATATTTCAGGGTCTTGATGCAACATTGGCAAAAAAGTCCATATGCCAACACCTTTGGGAATGATTAGGCCACCGAATTTCATTTCTTGCAATGCCTCCCTTGCCAGAATTGTCGCTGGAGGGCGTAGTCTTGTTGACTCATTAATCACCATTGTCAACTGATCAGATCCATTTTAAGAGAGGTTACTTAATAAAGTAATTTTATGTAACATCTCAAGAGAGTTATGTTAATTGAGAACCATACCGGTTTCATCTTGGGAAGAATACTAGCATCGGGCAATTCCCTGCCACAAACTTCAGATATTTCAGTACGAACACGAGCCTGCCATTCTGGGGACAAAGCTAATAACATCAGGGTCCACACTGCAGAGGCAGCAGAAGTCTCATACCCAGCCAAGTATATGTTTTTGCAGTTGTCAACAATGAAATCGTCAATCTTTTCGTGATCAATATGATTACTTTTTGCTCCATCAAGTACCATTTGTAACATGTCGGTCTCTGTTCTATGATCCTTTAATCTTTCGTTTTCTACCTTCAGAATCATTTCTCGAATCTCTTTTCCCAATCTCCTCATTTTTCGGTTACGCTTAGTTGGAAGATATCTACAAAGTTCCAATTATTCCTATGCATATATTAATTATGGGTTTAGATTTGAGTCCACAAAAAAAGCATTATGCCAAAAAAATTGGAATAGTTCAAACCTCATTCCAGGGATGACTGAGAGCAAGATTTTGTCAGACACAAGTTCTTGAAGATCATTACGTTTTGAGAATATCTCTTCCCCTTTGAAATAATTGCTACCAAAACAAGCTTTGGAAATAATGTCCCCAGAGAGTTTTCTTATATCCTTGAAGATTTCAATGTCTGCAACTCCACCCACACTTTCAATCCTATGAGTCCAGGAATTTACTAGTGTAGTTGAAGATTCCACCATTAACTTGGTCATTCCCTACAAAGTGTTTACCGCTGGCATTATTAAACTTATATCATGCCTCAAATATCATCTCTATGATTGGACTGCACCAACAAACTACAACGAAAAACATTAGTCAAATTATTTTGCTGCTTTCAGGAAGAATGCCATGAATTGATGTATCATATACCCATAGTTTTTTTTTTTTTTTTTCGGTAAGTAAGATAATATCATTAAGAAAGGGAAAATGTACACATGTTAAACCCAAAAGGGATGGAAGATCTTCTTAAAACAAGAAAAAGAAGATCCCCCATCCCCGAAGCACATTCCAGAAGAAAAACAGAAAAAGACAGGTCCAGCAAACTGGACATCAAGACAAGAACATCAAATGAAACACCAAACAGCAGTACCAAGCAGAACAACAAACGGCATCAGCAGTACCACCATAAAGACATAGCAGCCAACGCAAGCACCAGCAAAACAAAACCCATAGTTGAAGGAGCCCCTAGAGTCCTAGATTGATTCGTTTATCTCGACGTATTTAAACCAGATGTTGTATTTAATACAATATTCTTTTGGATACTCGAGAATACATATAAAATGTACAATATACATATCCAATAATTAGTATAATATTTCTTCATATTTGGATAAATCTCAAATATGGGTATTCAGGGTGAGTATCTATAGATATAAAAAGTTGATATACAGAGATATGTATATATGTGAACTCAAATCTTTGCCCTTTTCTTTCGAATCCAGAGTCATACTCGTAAAAACAATTCATATGCTTCTAAGAAACCGTTGATGAACGATTCCTTGAAAGGTTTAGGATTATTTGAGACAGTCACAGACACGAGGAAGGTAATAAAAAACGGCGCTGGCCTTTTCGGATCATTCTAAGTTGTTCAGAAGCCTTTAGATCCTTACCACTATCATTTGCTGGTTGGTTGCCCCAAATCCCCTGGTTTAGAAAAATGAAGGTAAGCTAAGGTGGTCTACAAGTGGTGTTTTTTTAAGTATTATCTAATAACACATAAACTTTTAATAGTGATTAATTAGATCATATAAACTTTTAAGTAAACCAATGATTAACCACATTTATTTTGTAGCATGCCATTTTGATAGGATCTAAGTGTGTCAAAGTTCAACATGATGCGATTAACCGACACGAATTGATATGAATTAATCGAATTTGGGTGATACCTTAACGGGTTCGGGTAGTAAACGAGTTGATAAGTCAAATACGTATAATAAACGGGTCATATATGGGTGAATCCGTTTATCACCCGTTTAAATAAAATTAATATAATATAAATTAATAATTATTTTAAAAAAATAGGTAGATTTTTTTTAGTGACAACCACAATATATATATATAGTGATAGCCACATAATTTTTTTTAAATTTAGTGACAACTACAAAAAATATAATAATAAATTAAAACTAAACAGATTAACGAGTCGTGACGTGTTATCCATTTATTAAATGATTCGGGTTTGTGTTAAAATTTTTCACCCGTTTATTAAACGAGTCGTGTATAAGTTTATATGTTTTTCACCTGTCACCCGTTTAATCAGATACGTAACTATTTAACCCGTCACATTTGACACTCTTATATCTATACTTGTTCAAAATATGAAATTGCTTATTTTTCCAAAAGGTGTTATTATATAATTTACTAAAAATATAATTATGAAGTTGTAAAAAATAAAATATAAAAAATACTATATGTGAGATATGTTTTTTGGTTGTGTTCGTATCATATTTTTTTAGATTTTATCATATCATACTCGTATCCTTAGCTTGCTACAGAGCTAGGAATCACAAACTAATAATTTGAGAAACTTATAGTTTGATACTTTAACTATTGACTCAATTTTATTTTGTCCCTTGCGAGCACTTTTCATATTGCTTTATTAACTATTTGAATTAAGTTCACATGTCTCACACAACACAGACAAACAAAAAAAAAAAACACATTTTGGGGGGGGGGGGGGAGAGAGGGCAAAAAATGAAATATTTTTTGTCCAATTTGAAACAGGCTTTTAATAATTTAGGCAATCTAAAATCAATAAAATAGTTGAAGGAGTAATGTAAGAAAGTTCTCAGTTGATGCGGGGACATGGGAAAAAAGGTCATGGTCGACGGTCAAAAGGATAATTTGCCCTAATATTTTCCTAAACTTTCTTTTGGATGGGGCAATTGTTAAACGGCGGGTGATCAAAAACATGAGGTAAATTTTATTTTTATATCCCATGAACTGTGGACTCTATTTCACTTTACTTCTTAACTATTGGATGTTCCAAGTTGCCACCTCAACTACCTAAATTATTTCACATTGTTCCAAATATAAACGACGGCTATCATTGTGGGTGAAAATTACCAACGTGTCAAGACAAAGTAAAAAAAGTAACACGATTTGGGGGCAAAGTGAAACGACTCTCCGTTAACTTGTAATGAACATTAATAATTGAACGGCCTAAAACTAATCACATAATTGAAACCGCAATATGAAAATTATTATGGTTAGAGGAACGATGTGATAAAAGGCCATAATTGAGGGGTGAAAGTGTAGTTCAAATTTGGATACAGAAACTCCTGGTAAATAGGATTGCTGATAGTGGCAAATGCTATTAGAAGGGCTAGCTAATAGATTTTCATGTAAAAGTATAATGGTACCTTGACCTTGTCCATGAACAGTTGAGGAGCTATGATCTTTCTTTGATAGGCCCAGATTGCACCATTAGAATCGAGAATGCCTTCGCCTAAGAGAGTTCCCATTACATTTCGTTGATAGGATGGCTTTCCAAAGTCCGGAGATGTGCATGTGCTTTTCCTTCACTACTTCAGGATCATTCATATACACAATTTGTAGGTTGCCCATGGAAAACATGAAAACCGGACCTGTAAACGTAGTTAAAATGCATATTTTAGAAACCAGACTTTCGATTCATCTTTTTCAATATAAGCATATTTTTTTTACCACTGTCAAAAGGGTTGTTTATCGAGTTGATCCATTAATCGAGGACGCTAGAAATGGTAGACTTGCTACAACTCTAACATTTGACATGATTCACTAAGAGGGGCTATCCTCAAATTCTAGTGATTGATGGGTGGTTTGAAGTTAGCACGAGGAAAAATTTAAACCACATCATGCCCCTCGGAGTAGTGTCAGATAATTCCGTGATGATGAAAAAATTAGGGGTTTATTCGGAGACATCACAAATGACTCGACTCAGTCGTCTAAGTCATGTGAGACTCGTGATTTATACAAAACGTAGAATAGTATCAGAATACTTTGAACTATGCAATAACATTTAGGTATAACTGTACAAAGTAACAAATATAAGCATTTATGGATCAAGACACTATACCATATTCCTGCTGCCATGGCTTAAACCATGGGAAGATAACGGAGGAATCATGCGTTATTATTTGCTCTTGATTTTCCTTTGAAACCGTGGACTGTGTTTTCTTCATCATTTCTAGAAGATTGCCGACAAATAAAAATGGAGGAGGACCATTGATCCTTGCTTTCGCAGCTTTGCACGAAGCCTAGATGGCTTTATCACAAGAACCTCACAAAGGCGTACAAACAAGCTCACAAAGCCAAGCACTCCTATTGTGAACATGATCTTGAGTAGTAGCCATAATATCTCCATGGCCTTTCCCTCTGTGTGTGTGTAGCTTTCTTTTGGACTGGCATCCTTTTGTTGACATTTTACAGTCATTTATACACCAAAAACCAGGTTAGCTGGAATGCCAGACAGTTAAGAGAGGTGTAGGGAGATTAAACAATCAAATAGTTCGAGTTCAACTTAGGTTTTGCCAAAAAAAAAAAAACCTGGGTTTTGCTTGTTTTTACACTTCAGGGATTGATCAAATTATGAAATAAGCAGAATCCATTTACTCATGTTTGAAAATGATGAAAAACTTCAATCTTTTTCCCAAGAAACTACTCATTTTGAGGAAATCAATAGTTTTTTTTTTTTTTTAATTGTTAAAGTTTTTTACTCAGAATTTGACTTCGGTTTTAACTTAAGTTCAGCTCAAGTAATTCAAGTTTTTACAAAATCAAAATTGGACAAGATTAAACTTCAGAATTAAGTCCAATATAAGCTCAAACCCGACCAATCATAATCAAATCAAAATTAAAGTATCCTCGAACTCTATTATGTGAACTTGACTAACAGGATGGAGTGTAAGATCGAAAACCTAATGTTTTTTATTTGTGAATTGTGAGCAATGTATGGTTTATCGGGTAACTCTGCACGTTGAATGAAAAGATACGGGCAGTTTGTGGGATCCCAATTTCCAATTTCGCTTTTTCCTCCTTATTTATGCAAATCAGTATATCGCCACTTACCTAACTTATCACCCATCACAGGAATTTAATTCTCTCTCTCTCTCTCTCTCTCTCTCTCTCTCTTTATGGTTGATAGACTATTCAAAGACAAGCGCAGGTGTGGCATACCCACAGCATACTCTTCCTTCCAGTTTGGTTTGGTTGATG